TTGTTCAGCAAGGGGGTGAATAGAAAATGAAGGCTAATCATGTTTTGGGTGTACTATTCCTTTAAAGGGCTTTCATTGAACAAAAGCAGATTTACGCACAAGTTGGAGACAAATCTTTCATAATAAAGGGGATTCAGGTTCAGTTTGAGGTTGTAACATGAAAGTGGAAAGGTATGTAACTCAATTACATTAGACAAGACCTTTAAAAAGTGCAAGGCTATAAGGCAGGTTTTATATTATTTCAAGTGTTTTATTAGATATATATTTGACGCCCTCTTGTGGAAGGAAACAGGCTGTGCAGCTTCAGAATATGATTTATTCTGGTCTATTACTAAAAAACTACCCATTTTGAACAACCGATAATACAAAGTCCCGTCTCAAGATGTGCAATGCAAAGATTTATTTATTCTACATGCAACATGTACTGGAAAAAAAGGATAAATCTCATACAAGCATCCGTGCAACACATCCACAGCACTGTCATCTTTACCTGACCAAAAGCCTCACATGAACCATCTTTGCACCCCGAGAGAATCCAGAAGAGAAGCTTTAAATCAGTTTAAACGGCATTAGAACTGAAAATTATGTCCAAATGTCTTATTGTCCAAACACCACATTCATTTCTCGGCTTACAGCTTAGATTTGCTTGTAACTTGGCAGAATTTTGCAGGTTTGTAGATAAAACAGAGGCTATGATATCATGGGCAGAGATCAATACAGGATTTCCTTTTCTATGCAGAACAGGCCTGATTGTAAAACCTGCTTTAAAACTAATACATACTCATCAGATGTTCTGAAAATGTTATTTCAGGATACAATTTGAAAAAAAAAAAGAAAAGATACTACACTAGAATGTCATTTTCTGCCAGCTTGTGTAATATCAAGAGTAAATGATGCACTTTAAATGTCCTGAACATTTTGATCCCACTTCAGGGACGTCAGGAACATTTGGAGATGTGAGCTGTAAGCAAGCATTCAGGGAGTGAAGCAAGGGAAACAACCAGTACCCTTCATGGTTTTCAGGCGGCCCGCTGCGCTCACTGGCTGAGCTCCTTCAGGCTTCGCAGCGAGTTGGCACAGCTGCTGATCAGGCTGCACAGCTGGATGCTGGCCTCCAGTGAGGCCGAGCTCTGTAACTGGTTGGTGGCCCAGCGAAGTTTAGTCAGGACGGCTTCTTCTGCTTCTTCCAAAACGGGTAGGAGGGTGGAGCTTTGTGGTGGACAAACCGGGGGTTGAATGGGCGCCAGGGTGGTGGTGGAGACAGGAGACGGAGGAGAAGCGGTGACTGATGGAGGCAAAAGGCCTCTCCCTCCAGCGGCGGCCCCCTCGCAGTGTTCCGGTCTGGGCTGGGGAACAGATACGCCCACCTGACCAGTGGTTGGCCGTGCGTTGACTTCGAGGACGTGGGTCGCTGCAGGAGAGTGGGCTGCGAGTTGCCTCTCTCTCACCTGGGACAATGCAGCTTGTGGATTTAAAGCTGTTTAGAGAAAAAGAGGATAAACTAAAAAAAGGGGCTGGAAACATCCATACAATAAGGAAAATTAAAGAAAAGCAAAATACAAAAAAAGTCAAGAGAAGAGTGTAGGAGTTTACCAGGGTTGTCCTTGTCAACGTCGGAGTCCAGCTCCTGACATGAGACACAGTAGTTTTTCTTCTGTCTGTCCTGAAGAAGAATAGTCTGGAAGCACATGAAAGCATATTGGATTATACTTTTACAGTCAGAGAGGAAGAGTTCACTAAAACAGGCTTTTCTTCCACAAACACAGTTTCCTAGAGACACGTCTGAATTTATTTCAGTTTTATCATAGTTAAATCTGACATGAACTCTTATAGTTACGTGCCAACATCGAATTATATCCTAGATCGGTTCTGTCTATTTCTTCTCAACTCAACCTTCAGTGGTTCACAGTTGACAGCAGCTTATACTCTAATTGTCCAATACATGCTTTCATGGTGCTATATTAGTAATAGTGGGATGTTTGCTTCATGGGCATATAGGGCTATTTAATAATCCTGGGAAATGAACCTGAAAATTTACTCAATTTTAACGCAGTCTATGCTGGACAGGTGTGCAAACATTAGCTGCATTACAGCTTGTGGCGCATATAAAGCAGTTAGGGTGGAAAATGGCTCACAGCGTAGAGATAGACCTTCATATTGGTTGGCCAATAATAGCGTTTTTTTTGTAATGCACCAGTCTACAGTGGGGCAAAAAAAGTATTTAGTTAGCCACCAATAGTGCAAGTTCTCCCACTCAAAAAGATGAGAGAGGCCGGTAATTTTCATCATAGATATACCTCAACTATGAGAGACAAATTGAGAAAAAAAAAATCTGTGCGGTTCTGGGATTTTTACTCACCGTTCTTGTGATCATTTTGACCCCACGGGGTGAGATCTTGCGTGGAGCCCCAGATTGAGGAAGATTATCAGTGGTCTTGTATGTTTTCCATTTTCTAATAATTGATCCCACAGTTGATTTCTTCACACCAAGCTGTTTACCTATTGCAGATTCAGA